ACACACACACACACACACACACACACACACACACACACACACACACACATCTGTTTGTGCATTTGCATTTTGCATACAACAGTTGGCGGTGTATTTTCAGGCCCTTTACACTGTTCCGACACAAGCTGGAGACCTCGAACCATTATCAACTGGCCAGGTTTCCCTGACAATTTTGAGAGTGATGGCAGTCCAGATTTACAAGGCTCATTACAGGGCTTCTGAAATCCTTGCGGATATGCCGCTTCCTACCCTACCAATTGCTATCCCAACGGTCTTTAAAGAAGTCCCAAACGGTACATTTATTCTGGATAAGCAGAATATTCCTCTGCCTTCCCCTGCTGGACCTGATACAAGTGTTAACATCTCATCCACGAAGCCATGGATGCCAGGCACAGTAGGAGGGCGAGACTTCAATGCGACTCCACAGACTGATCCATCAACTTTTATTTTCCACAAAGCTTCAACCGACAATGCGTTCGATGTCACAACTGTGGGTACAGTGAAGGAAGTAGCTTCCGACGCTTATGACAGTCTACAGGTCGATGGACTGCTTAAGTTAAGCGATTTGCGACCCAGCACGGACGTCACGGAAGCTGTCGCTTCAACTGCAACAGGCTTCAACACCATCCTGAATGACATGGCAGCATTGCCTACCAGCATATCACCTCCTGCTCCTCCTCCACCTCCCTCTGGGTCAGGCTCCGATTCTCTCCTTTCGCCTCCATTACCGCCTTCGACCACCGTCATGCCACCTTCCGACATGATAGAGAAGCTTGCCAAAGTCGTCATCACGACGTACCATCCTACCGTGGTGAACTCCATTGAACAGGTCGCGGAGGGGAAGAGCTCTGTGCAGCAGTATAAAACATCGATGACCACGACCCAGCTGAACCAGTTGATATCAACGGCTTCCGTTCCCAACAGCTTTGAACTTCCAGATCCTCAATCGCCGGACTCAGTGGAAGAGGGAGTTACCAATGGAGTGCCCCTTTCAGGGGGTGAGCCGTCTCCAGGAGGTGGTCCTAAGTCGTCTCCGTCGGGTATCACGTCGAAGCAAAAGCGGACCATACTATTGGGTGTGGTGATTAGCATTGGGGTATCGTTGCTGGCATCGGTCGCGATATGCATCTACCGCGGTAGCCGGAAAACAGCAACGGCAGTTGAAATCCAACCCGAAGTTGAGATCCAACCCGCACCCCCAAGATAACCTAAGGCTCGATGCCGCCTTGGCAAACCACTTGGAGCAGAAGGACCGATCTGATTCAATGAGATACATGTCCGCTTGGGCTACCTGACCCGGGGAAACATACTTTGTCTGTTCGGCCAATTCACGTGTTAGGGTGCCATGCGACGGATTGTCCACTTGCATTATGGCTCAGAACTGAGGAGGATTTAATATATTTTTGCAGCTGGCTCAGAGACGACGCAGGGGAACCAGCATTTAGATATATATTCTCTGCTTGAGGAGCGAGCCTGGTGAACAGCTGGTTGCTCTTGAAAAGAAGATTTTTATATTCTCTGCACGCAACGTCAACGACCCAACGGTCACGGTGGCATGAGATTTTGTGTTGTCAGTGCGTCCACTGGGTGCTTGACAGCAGCTCTTCTATATTCTTTCCCGAAAGAAAAAGCGAAACTGGTTGAGCAGTCTCCCCGAACCAGTAGCGGTGGGAACTTTCAACATAGTGCGGCGTTGAGGTGTTGTCCGACTTTCGACTCCTGTATCTTGAATCGTGACCAAGTATTTGGGGGCGGTGGAGTTGTCCCAATCATTGGAAGGTTGTGGTTGTTATGCACCCATGAATCCCATGGGCCCCAACCTTTTTCTTTTTTTTTTTTTTCTTTTTTTTTTTTCTTTTTTTTTTTTTGGGCCCCAACCATTGTCAGACTTGGTTGGAACTTGTGGTTATCATCATGGACCCATCAAAATGCATCAAAATGGTTTTGTTTTGGGTCTTCTCTTGTCTTGACAAACTAGATGCACGCGTCCTATAAAGAGGCGGCAGCATGACTTTCTCAGATTTTGTGTGAGTAGAACACAATACAGAAAAAGGAAAGGGAGAACTTGAAGAAGAGAAAAAAAAATTTGAAGAACAGGATGGAAAGACAGATTCTGCACACATCATTCATAATATGGCTCGTACCTAAAAGTTATTACAGGTGATTGTTGTGACTATGGTGAGAGGGCATTGCTCTTGAAATGGAACACACTGTCACACTCCAGATATGTGAGCAGGCAAACAGGCATTTTCAGGTATGGTGCAGAAGCAGGGTCAAATAGAAGATTGCATGTATGGGACCCCTGGAGTGGTCCATTGTGTATGCTATCTTCTTGACATGACGATAGGGACGGGTCGCAAATGGCCACACAGAGGTTTGGACTGAGAAAGCAAGCAGAGCGTATGTGGTGGCGCCGTGGCAGTGATGGTCATCGTGATGCTCGTGCCATCGTGGCAATCGCGAAAATGTGAATGTGCCATACAGATCTGAAAGTGGTGGTGATGGTGACAGTGGCAGTGGTGCCTCATGGCAGTTAGGGAAGTGTTGTTGGTGTGGTAGAATGTGGGTGCGCGTAGGCTGTCTCTGCAATTGGGTATTAAGCACTGGGCATGATATGGAGGAGAGAGAACGGTCGAGAGGAAACCAAGTCCACCGACTAATCTGAAGGATGAAGGCATGTTCAGTGTTCACGACTTTCATTTTTTGCGCTATCGTTGTGTTATCTTCAATGAGAGTCAATCTGGCCATCATCAAGATCAGATCATCTTAGTTAAGAGAAGAGCACACAACTGTCAGCAGTAAACGTTTTTTTTTTTTTTTTAAATCACTCCTACCGGTGATAGTGGTGCTGATAAGAGCAGACACCACTACCACCTGAGGAGAGTTTTTTTTCTGGCAAGTAGATGAGGAAAATTCCAGTGAGTGAAACTTGGGATGGCTAGAGTCTTCGTCCTTTGTTTTTGGCTTTTCTCTCACTGGACCACTGACACTGACAGGTCAGTTCTTTCTTTTCTTTTTTTTTTTTTTTTTTTTTTGGGATCAGTTCTTTCCTGCCAGCACTGTCAGGTCAATTTATTTGCAGGAAGGGGGGCAATTTTATTATTATTATTTTTATTTTTATATGAAGGGGGGCAATTTTCAGGGGGCATCAACTGCGTTTGCAAGTTTCTTCTTTCAGAGTGTTAAGCTCGCCGTCAATAAATTTCATTTTTTTTCTTTTTTAAACCACCACTACCTTCCACAGTGTTAGGCTCGCCGTCAATAAATTTCACTACTGTTTTAAATAAAAAAACAGCCCATTCATCGGCGGCCTTTGTTGCATTAGCGGCCTCCGAAACTCGTGGGGCCTCGCCCGCGGCCGATGTATGGGAAAGGTAGTCGTGGCTTTACAAATCTTCCTTTCGTTAATAATTAAATTTAAAAAAAAATACTCGGAATCGGCTCCAGTGTCCCTCGCCAGCGGATGCGCACACAAGGCTTGCCTTCGTTTTGTTGGTCAAGCGATCCATCCTCAGACAGCACAGCAGCATTGATTACTTCCTGTGACAGAAAGGATGTGATGTACTACCGTTCCACCCCTGCGTTTCTGGTCTTTTGACTACATTGTCTGTTATTTCTCTGGGAAAACAAAAATCTTCCTCCCGCT